ATTAGATTACTGTTCGCAAATAGTTAAGGATGTGGGCTGTTCTAGTTTTACGGAAATGCGAAGTTTAGCTCAGGATAGGAAAGAGTGGAGGTACGTGTCCAACCAGTCTTAGGACTGACGACCTTATGATGATGATGATGATGATGATGATTCTTTTATGCCTTATTAAGAAGTAAATAATTTGCTATTTCTTGCATTAAATATTTTATTTCGATTTAATGTTCAGTAACATATTGTAGTATATATTAACACACGATAAAAATTGAATATAAGATAACAATTATTTTTTTCTGTATATGTTTGTTTCGATTTCTACAAGTTAAAGCCCCCCAGCAGTTTTGCAGTTTTTTCTTATATTGAATACTTCTGATAATGATATCCAATGTGCACGTGCATATTCAGTTGAGTTCTTATACATTTTACATTTTGAAAATGTTACATTCTGCATGGCAGTAGCAGCACCAACATTTTCGTGCACTGGAGATGAGTGATTTCTGTTTAGAAACTGCATGCTGCGGTTATTTCTTTTACCATTATCTTGTAAGTGTCATGAGGGGCTGGGGTAGTGTATTGTTGCGATCCATTTTCGTCTTTAAAATCGTTGTATGCCACAGATTTTACTTCGTAATAGCCCATTTTCGTTGCAAGCTTCTGAGTAAAAAAACTCGTTGCATCTATTTTAAGTAACTAAAAGTAAATAGAAATGAACACTTCGATTGTATTATTGACGTTTTTTAATTAAGTCGAAACTCGTGTAAAGAAAATTCTTATCGTGAGATAATATAATAATAAGCAAAAAGTTTCTGTTCAAAGAGAAAAAGAGGCCCCAGGAAACACAAAATTTGAAAGAGAGAGAAATACAATAATTCTAATCTTACAATCACATAATTTGTCGTTCAAATATTAACATTTGTGAACTTTGTCATCAAATTCTAAATATCATTCTTTTTGGCATCGTCATTTTCAATTGAAACTACAGCTAAAGTGATGAATCTGTCTTGACTCACAGTACTCCGTATTCAATTTTGTAAAAAAGCTTTCTGCATTCGTAACGGTAACTAAAATGGCCAGAATCCGACAGCAAGATGTGAAAATTTCAGAAAAACTACTACTCGAATAAAAATGAAATCAAAAATTTTCATAACAGAATTCATCAGTTCCAAACGTACTTATATCAAGCTAGTACGATAAAATTATACTTGTCTCTAATTTGATACTGAATTCACAAATTTGTCACTTCAGTCGATTACTCGAAAATATATACACTGTACATAACGTATTTCATAATAGAAGTGGCACTGGCGTAGAGAAATATTGTGAGGGTTATAATTTGTCATTGAAAGATGGTACTTTTACCCATTTCGTCCCTAGCCAAATCCTGTAGTTGGTTAGCGAAAAACCACTAAAATGACGCCAAGCTGGCACTACAAATACCGTATCTCAAAATAGAAATACAGCAGAAAAATAATGTAAGTGTCATAATTTGTCGTTAATTTAACACTACAAGATGGCACTTTATCCATTTTGTCGCTAGTCTATCGTCCAGATATCTAACGAAAAGTTGGCACTTCACGTAGTGTATCACGAAATATAATTTATTTAGGTTATATAGGTTATAATTTGGACTATAGTTTGTCACTAATTTGTCGTTAAAAGGTGGTACATTTGCCTATATTGTCGCTAGTCTATTCTTCTTCTGTTCAACGAAAAATGATTGAAGAGCCGACAAGTTGTCACAACATATAATGTATTTTGAAATATAGGTAGCAAAAAGCCTATAATTTGTCACTCATCTTGTCGCTAGTCTGTTCTTCAGCTGATTAGCAAAAACCCGCTTGAAAAACGATAAGCTGGCACTACAAATAGCGTTTATCGAAATAGAAATTAAATGGAAAAATACTATAGGGACCATAGTTTGTCGCCAATTTGTCGCTGAAAGATGGTAGGTACTTTTACCTATTTTGTCGCTAGCCTATCCTCCAACTATCCAACGAAAAACGATTGAAGAGCCGATAAGTTGGTACTGCACAATGTATCTCGAAATATAAATAGCAAAAGAGCTACAATTTGTCATTCATTTGTTGCTAAAAGTGGTACATTTACCCATTTGTTGCTTGAAATAGAAATGACATAGAAAAATATCATTTGTTATAATTTGTCGCTGACTTGTCGCTGAAAGATGGTACTTGTTCTCATTTTAACGATAGTCTATCATCCAGATGATTATATAGCGAAATCTCACTGGAAAGACGCCAAACTGGCACTACGAATAGCGTATATCGGAATTGGACGACAAAATATTGTAAGGGTCATAGTTTGTCGATAATTTGTTGCTGAAAGGTGGCACCTTACCCATTTTGTCGCTTGTCTGTCCTTCAGATGTCCAACAAAAAGCGATCGAATGGCCAACAAGTTGGCACCACACATAATGTATCTCGAAATATAAATCACAAACGAGCTATAATCGGTCGCTAAGGGATGGTATTTTTACCCATTTTGTTCTATCCACGAGCTATCCAACGAAAACCGACAAGTTAGCATTACACATAATGTATCTCGAAATATAAATAACAAAGGAGCTACAACTTGGGCTACAGCTTTTCATTAATTTGTCGTTGAATGATGGTAGTTTTGTCGCTAGTCTATCCTCCAGCAGTCCAGCAAAAAACGCAAGAAAGTCACCAAGTCGACACTACGCATAATGCATCTCGAAATACAAATGGTATAGAAAAATATTGTCGGGTATAATTTGTCAATGACTTGTCGCTGAATGATGGTACTTGTTCCCACATTGACGCCAGTCTTTCATCAAGATGATTAAATAACTGCACTACGAATAGCGTATATCGAAATAGAAATTGGGTGGAAAAATACTATAAGGGTCATAGTTTGTCGATATTTTGTCACTGAAAGATGGCACTTTACCTATTTTGTCGCTTGTCTATCCTTCAGCTGTCCAACGAAAAACTATTGAAGAGCCGACAAGTTGCCACCACACATAATGTATCTCGAAATATAAATAGCAAAAAGCTATAATTTGGGCTATAATTTGTCATTAATTTGTCGATGATGACTTTTGTCGCCGTCCAGCAAAAAACGCAGGAAAGACACTAAGCTGGCACTACACATGGCGTATCTCGAAATAGAAATGTCGTAAAAAAATACTGTCGGGAATAATTTGTTGCTAACTTGTTGGTGAAAAATGGAACTTTTTTGTCACAGGTTTAGCCTCGAGCTCATTAGCGAAAAATGGTTAGACAGTCATTAAGTCAATTTTAGAAATGAAAAGTATAATAATGTCATGCTGACTGAATATAGATACGTTATTTACAAAACAATTTTGAAACACTTCTTGAAAGACAAAAGTTGGCCTGAAATTAATTGTGTCTAAAACATCATCCTCATAAAATACATTGACTAATCTTTCTCACATTCATTGTGATATGATGTTGACTAAAATCTGTATTGGTATGACAAACGCCTTCTGTTCTGAGAAAAAGATGTTGAACATTTATTTGCTGAATAAACGTAGATATAATTCAGAGAGTATCTTCTTTTACCTGAAATTCACGCCAAATAAACGATGTGAAACCTCCCTAGACAAAAATTTTCAGTCTCTCTCCAGTCTCTCAGAGTCTTTCAGCGTCTCTGAGAGCGTCTCTCACAGTCTGTCACAGTCTCTCAGTTATTGACTAGGTGTTTTTATGGATCTCTCACAGTCTCTGCATGAGAGATTCGAATTCAGAGATTTTAGTCTCTCGCAGAGAGACTGAATGAATAAAACTGAAAAACTGAGAGACTCGAGTCTCTCGTAGAAAGACTGGGATCTCTGAAATATGTTCAACTTAAAAAATTTGAACCATGTCTATCGAGACACCACTTATTGAGAGATTCGAGTCTCTCGTTCAGAGACTCGATACGAAATGAGGATTTCTCCATGAGCGACTCGAGTCTCTCGTTCATCGAAGCTAAACAGTTTTTATGACAGTCTCTCCACAGTCTCTCTCAACGACACCAGAGAGACTTGATGAGAGACGGAGACTTGAGTCTCGCTTTCAGAGACTCTGAGAGACTGAACATTTTTATCTCGGACTAGGGTTGATAAACTAGCCCAGAAGTTTCCGATTATGTAACACCAATAAATCTATCACCTCAGAAATTTCTTAATATTATTTGAGATGAAAAGTATAAAACAGGAGTAGAAATATAAATAAATACATATTTTGTACAACCGAAAATTATTTCATTCACAGTTGCCCCATACAAATTCTCTTTTAACAAAAAATTAACAATATTAAACTTTATTATTGAAAAAACATTCGACAACATTTAACTTACAGAGAATCCGTTTTTTGCAGCAACAGCTTCGCTTTGAATAAGCAACTCGCTAGCTATTTTCCGACTTCGGAAGTTATGTGCAACACACAAAACTCTCAACTCAAATATTTTGTCCACTTTGAACTTTTCGAACAAGTTCGCTTCTTGGTTTGCGTCAAACAATAGTCCGAAAATTAGTTTATACTTAATGTCACCCTGCTCTAGTCGTTTACGACATACTTCCGAATCGGATGGTCTACTTATACCATTCAAACAAACCCCCGCAATCTGAAAGTATACAGAAACAAGAAAAACTAATTTTACTCAGTATATCGACCAGATATAAATAAAAAATTAAATCAATCTTCCGACAATCCCACCAATATAACTAATAATAATTAAATTGTAGTAAAAATTCTTTGTGGTAAACTGAAAAGTCAGAACGATTATCATAGCATATTTAGCATATTTTCTGTACAAGTAAATAATTGCTGATACTATTATGCTCTGTGCTGACAGCACTCATAATTTCTTTTATATATAATATTAACAGCCAACAAAAAACGGGGCATTCTTTGCCAAAATTTAGAAACTAATGCCTAATTACTGGCGTGTTAGTTTTAGAGAGTAATTTATGATGAATACTTACTTGGAATGCTCGCCTGTGACCTTATAATCTTTATATTGCTTAAAAATAGCCACGTTAGTTTTGTTAGTAAATTAATTGCAAATGAAATTTAATCGAAGGATTTAATTTCTTCTTAATGAAAACACTGTTAAATTTAGGTGGTGGTTTCAGAAAGGAACAATGTTCTGAAAACCTTAATTTTTGTGACTTTTTTGTCGATGTTTTTTAATTAAATGTTCTTCAATTCTGATATTAATGACTCTTCCCCATTGTATTACAAGCATAGCAAGTGTCACAAGAAATTTTGCAAATACCACTTTTTTTTAAATATTTAGTTGGTTGTTTTAAATTAAGATGAATATGAATTATTTCTTTTTAATATAGATTCATCCGTTAAAGGTGATGTAAGTAAGTATGAAGATGATTAATGACCTGAATAGTGAAGCGTTTATAAAGCTCTGAAATAAATTTTGCACTACGGTTAAACTGTTTATGACATTCCCTAGANTGTAACACCAATAAATCTATCACCTCAGAAATTTCTTAATATTATTTGAGATGAAAAGTATAAAACAGGAGTAGAAATATAAATAAATACATATTTTGTACAACCGAAAATTATTTCATTCACAGTTGCCCCATACAAATTCTCTTTTAACAAAAAATTAACAATATTAAACTTTATTATTGAAAAAACATTCGACAACATTTAACTTACAGAGAATCCGTTTTTTGCAGCAACAGCTTCGCTTTGAATAAGCAACTCGCTAGCTATTTTCCGACTTCGGAAGTTATGTGCAACACACAAAACTCTCAACTCAAATATTTTGTCCACTTTGAACTTTTCGAACAAGTTCGCTTCTTGGTTTGCGTCAAACAATAGTCCGAAAATTAGTTTATACTTAATGTCACCCTGCTCTAGTCGTTTACGACATACTTCCGAATCGGATGGTCTACTTATACCATTCAAACAAACCCCCGCAATCTGAAAGTATACAGAAACAAGAAAAACTAATTTTACTCAGTATATCGACCAGATATAAATAAAAAATTAAATCAATCTTCCGACAATCCCACCAATATAACTAATAATAATTAAATTGTAGTAAAAATTCTTTGTGGTAAACTGAAAAGTCAGAACGATTATCATAGCATATTTAGCATATTTTCTGTACAAGTAAATGTACTTATATAGCAGAAAGTATATTGCAAACGAATAATTAGGTGCTTTTCGTTGAAAAAAAGTGCTCAATGCCAGTTTGTAATTAAATGGAGTAAATGAATTTGTGGGTTGGGAAAGTCTCCCAAATAGCTTTTCATTATAGAAAACCCCTTTGTCATTTTCACTGTAATTTATTAAAATTAACAGAACGTATCACCATTCTGTCTGTTATTCATATTAACAACAATATCAGGACTCTTAATTGCTGAGGCACATAATTTTTATAATGTAATGACCGTTCAATAAGTGTGCAAACGGATAATGAAGATGAAAAGAATTTATAAGAATAATAAAATGATCATTAGTTATTCTATTCTCAATCCTCGACTTTCTTATATTCCTCGCAGACTGTCAATTTAAGTGAATTCAATAAGGAGCGGGGAAATGTCTTCACATAGGATGCGCTTATTACTTCCTTTCGTCGACTACTGTAAGGATTCCTCTTCCAATATATTCCTCTTTCAATACATTCCGACTTATTCAATTGCGTTCAACTATTTTCAATCATTTGTTTATCGATCAATAGAAGGAATTATCATAAAATATGTTATTGTGAATTCAAAATTATACAACAAGCAGGAGACAATAACAAAAAAAGGCAGATTTAAGGAAATGTATGAGTAGGACCCACGAAAGAGTTGTACATTAGGCTGCGAATATCCCAGATTCACAGCTAGGTTCAAACCAATTGTAATTTGTATGATGTCAAAGCACGACGGGGTGCCGTAAGGTGTCAAGTTGTTTTTACGGAAAAGAAGGAAATGGTATAATTTGGACTCCTTTTTAACCAATTTTCAAATTTGGACGCGCACAATTTCGCTCTTAACAGTGGTTCAATCCAACTTAAACTTGATGATATAAAAGCACGACAGGGGGGCATGTGTTTTGACGAAATAGAAGAAAATGGTTGATAATTTCGAATCCTTTTTAACCAATTTTCAAATTTGTACGCCCACAATTTCGTTTTTTACAGTGGTTTAAGTCAATTGAAACTTATATAATACAAAAGGAGGGTGTCGTAATGTTACATGCGCTTTGACGAAAGTTGTTTTTGCGAAACAGAAGGAAATGGTTTAAATTCGACTCCTTTTTAATCAATTTTCAAATTTGTACGCCGACAATTTCGCTCTTTACAGTGGTTTAAGCCAATTGAAACGTGCATGATACAAAAGCGGGGTGTCGTAAAGTGACATGTGCTTTGATGAAACTCTATTTTTGCAAAATAAAAAGAAATGATTCATACTTTGGGCTTCCGTTTAATCAATTCTCAAATTTGGACGCGTACAGTTTCGCTGTTTACAGTGGTTCAATCCAATTGAAACTTGATGATATACAGGCACGCCAGGAAAGCATGTGTTTTTATGAAAGTGTGTTTTTGCAAAGGAAACAAAATAAAATTGTTTTAGAAAATACTACAAATGGCGCAGTAAACGCCATCTGTGGCACGATGCTTCATTTTAGGATTACGTATGCTTCAACAAAGTCCACTTGTGCGGATATCTACTTGCTGAAAACGAATCCCGGCGTAGCCAACCTCAACGTGATAGGCACGTTAGCTTAATCGAGTAAAATAATTCGAAGTTGTCTGTATTCTGTCGAAACTGCCAGACGCGGATCGCGATTTCGATCTTTTTGGATCTCATCAGCGCGTCGCAGGCAGTTCCGACAGAACACAGACCAACTTTTACCTGCTGTCTTAACAGTGCGTTTTAGAAAATACTACAAAAAGCAGTTGTTTATATTACAAATTATCGTCTTGACTACTTCCTATTCCTTCTTAAAATATCGAAGATAAATAAACAAAATTGTCTGCCGCTTATGGCCCTACACCTAGTCTTGAGAAATAGGAAATTGAAAATTTTTATCACAATTACCCACTTCGTTGGTGCATTTATCAACTGCCATTATAGACATATTGTCTTCCATCGTCGCCAAATTATATTTTTCCAGACTTTCACAGGGCTCCCCACATTTGCAAAGACCGACGGAAACGTTCAATGGTTCGTCATAAAATGAAAATCTTAACATATTGATGACATCGGAATATCTTGTTGATGGTATTACGGAATATTCGAAGCTCATCTTTCTAAATAAATGGAAATATTAACGAAAATGGGAACAATTACAACATCATCAAAACAATATTACATTTACCTAATATTTGTAATATTTCACTCTAAAATGGTGATTTTGCTGTAAAGCAGCATTAAAATTAACACGATTACTTGACTAAATGAAAGAAGAAAACAAAATAACTGCAAAGCATTAAAGAATTTTCAATTTAGTACTGATCAGGGTTGTAAAGAAGGATTTTCTCTCTGTTAATCTTACAAATAAAAACTTAATGAAATTTGTTTCGAGTTTTGTTTAAGAAATTCTATATCGACGTTTATTGAATTATAATTTAGCTTAATTCACCTTATAATTAGTGATCTAACATATAGTTTTCTCCAGAAATTAAATATTTAAAACCACTAAACAATCATAGGAAGATTGCGTGGATCCAAAAAAGTGAAACTTTTGCTTATTGGTAAAAATAATTAAAAAACCGTATTCATGTGTTTAAATTTAAATTTCAATAATATCTGTTGTATAACTGAAACTATAAAAATAACGACAAAATACTTTGAAAAACTTACTCAATAATTATTATCTTTTGAATTAGGTGGAAGATAAAATTCGACAGCAAGTATATGTTATGATTACTGTATCATCGGCTACACAATTATTTTTCTAAAATGTAAAGGTTGTTAATTTTCTATACTTTCGATGTTATCTTGCCGAGCTTTCGCTGTACACTAAAAGCGTGCTCTCCTGTTGCTTCTGGCAACCGTCAGGATCCTGGAGCAAAAGCAGGACCGAAGCAAAATAAACTCAGGCTCCTCCGATAGAAAACAATTACGATAAGAGAACAGCCTTTTCTAATAAACGTATGAAGTTGAAAATGAGAAATAATCACTCAAAATGACATTTTTAATTATTAATAGTGGTTAATATAAAATATTAATGTGATAATTCATTTTCAGTTTTCCATCCAATACCCCCCGGCGGGGGTGTGACAACAGCAACAAAAATTTTCCCTCTCTAACCTGAGGTCGTTTGTAGTGGGTGGAAAATTGAAAATTAATTTTCACATTAATATTTTACATTAACAAATCACTCAAAAGTTTTTCGCCGTAATAGCTTTCTCATATTAATTATGAAAATTTAAGCAGAGTAATCAGGATCAAAACTTTTATTAAGCAACTGTTATCATTTTTAAAGGAATTATTTACAATTAGTTTAAAAAATAATTTTACACAAACTATTACTAAGTCATATTATTTATTTATTATTTATTTATTTAACCAGCAAATACAAAATACATAGATTACAAAGTACCCATGTACCCCCACAGAGATAAATATTATTATCTGTTGGTGGGACTGGTAAAAGAACAAGATAATAACTTAAAACTAAATTAAATCAAGAAGAATATTTCATTCACACTAATAGGGACAAAGACACCATGAAAATGGGAAATAGGTAACTTAAAACAATATAAATTGTGATCCTGTATTAATTATTAACTAATCTAAAAGCCCATCAATTCTTAAAATATCATAGCTCTGAAAATAGTAGTGAAAATGCTAAAATAAATATAAATAAGTATAAAAACGAAATACGTCATTATGAATTCTGTATATTTTTGACCACCTTTTGGTGTTATTTTACAGATTAGATATACACCGAAAACTCATAACAGTAAGTACATTTTCTTTTTAATACTAAATTCATACAGGAGTCATTTATTTCATAACAAATAGAATAAAATAAAAGCACTTGGTTAAGCTTCACTGTTAACAGTTAATTATTTACGAAAAATTTTTACAGTGAAGTCGCCTTTCAAACCTCTAAAGTAACAGCCAACATTGCAGATAGACCTAATTTATAAGAAGTTTTAAATGGTCACATTTTTGTTGAATTCAATTCACGCTATAAACCTTTAATTTTCTGTTTTCTTAAATTAATCTTTGAATTCTAAGGTATCCGGTCTCTCAGTCATTGAAGCTATCGATTGACCTAAATTGATAAAACTGAATTTAACTGCTCTTCTCTAACGTCTGGAAATTTCAGGGAATCTGATAGACAGATAACACGTTCTTGTGTCTGTCTCTACTCGAATAAAGTTTAAAACGTGAAACACGATTGATAATACCAGAGATGATCGGTAGAGGTTTTGATGTATATTATAATCACTTATCGTAGTAGATATGTAAATAATAAAATCAATTAAATGTATGTAAATGTACATCAGCATCTTTCCTGATCCACACCTCCACCATTACGAGCCCTGTCTCGGGGAAATTAGCCCAAATGCTCAAAATGTAGAATTTATGAAATTATTATAAAAAATCTGAAACTAATTGAATAAGTACCCAATGTTTGTTTTTTAATGTTGATTTATTTCGTTATGTATGAGTCGTTCTGCTAGAGGATAGGAAGGATATTATAGAATGTCTTTACCAACTGTATCAGCTAATAGCTTTTCTCATACATTCAGTGCAATCGACCACCTAATCGGTTCGGAAATTTTGCCCGTTTTTCAACTTACATCAGAAAAAGTAGATGATCATTTTTTTTATTAAAAAAGTTATACCTCCAGGGCGGTCGCATTTAAATTTGAAGAAAAAATTCTACCTCCAAAGGCGGATAACCGGAAGTTGATAAAGAATTAACGCAACCTGATTATTTCAGTCAAGTCTTTTTAACTTTTTAGTTTAAGTTTGTGCAGGATAGGAAAGAGTGGAGGTGCGTGTCTAACCAGTCTTAGAACTGACCACCTTATGATGATGATATTTTATTTGATCAGTTGCACTAATTAGCAGGATTGATAGTTTTACCCTGACAAAGGAGCTCGTACTGTACCTTTCTAGTCTTGCCGAATCGACAAAATGTTGAAGTTTCGTTATCCTTAGAACAAATAGGCTTTGGATTTTTTATTTGTAAATTCAAAAAATTCAGAGAAAAGAAATTAATTGGTTAAAGGAATAAGCTACGAAATTTTGAAATTTGCATTAAAAATATTTTAGTCAACATTAACCATTACAGATGATGATGAGCATTGAAAATTCTGAACAATGTTAAAGACTTACAAGTTTGGAACTTATTAAACAAATCATGACCGCTCCAAAATAGAGCAAAATTTAACTAGCGACAAGTATACTAGGTATTCCTCATTGAGTTTAATTAAGAATTTAAATTTTTGAAATAGTTACAAAATTACAAGTTGCTGGTATGGTGAATGAATATAACACAGTACATACATCCTTTAAAATTTTCTTTTTATGTTAATAGTATAATATTGCTAATATCATCGATAAAGTAGCCAATCATCATTTTCGTCATTGAAGATAGTAATGAATTCGTATTCTGGTTCTGATACATCAATGGCGTGACTCCCCATCAGTTCTTTCTTTTTATTTTTAACCATTTTCAAGCGATGAAATTCTTCTCTATCCATTTCTTCTAACATGTGTCCAATATAGTGAAGAGCGCGTTTAATTTTTGGAATTAGTACTAAAAATACAAAAAGATGTTAAAAAGCAAATGGTGTCCTTAAATAATAATAATTTACCAAATTCAAGGGCCTTTACCCTGGTCTCATTTGTCTTCACGGCGGTTTGAAGAAAAGTAAAGCATGATTGTAACGAAGCCAACTGTACAACAAATTCGATGGCTCTTTGGTATATTTTTTTAAGTTTAGCCAAATGTTGACCGCCTCGGGCTAAACCAGTAAGTTCATAAGTATCTGACCCACTTTCGAACATTTCAAATGTTTCATATTGAACACCTACGGTTTTGTAGATTTTACTCGATTGATTTTAGGAACCCAACCAGTTAGGTACATGTATGTATATAGATGTTTAAACTTAACTTGGGAAAGACACGAAATGGTAAAATTAATTTTCTTGCAGGATAAAAATAAATCTTAAACTTTTATTCGATAAAGTTGTAGCATTTATTTAATGAATTTACAACAAGTTTAATTTTTAAAACGGTAATTTTTCATAGTATTAAAAATAAACGAATAAAGAGAATTTGAAAGAAGAGCGAACTGATAGGTCATATAGAGCAGATTTGAGATGGGAAAGGATTGAGGATATGTATAGTATAGAAATAGAGGTAGAGGTAACATAGCGGTACAAAATAAGGTTGAGGGCAATGAAAATTAAAATATAAAATTCTCCCCTCTCCTGTAGGACAACTTCTTCGCGCATTGGAAGTGGTGTATCATTCCATAAATTTTAACCTGAGGAGCATTTCAAAAATTTCGTATTTCATTTGAGAAATTCGGAAACATCATTACCAAAAAAATTTTAATATTTATAACGTTGCAGCAATAAAAAAGAATTAAGAAACATAAAAAACAAATCTGAATTACGTAATTTAAATTAAGAAATCAAGAATTCTCACATTATAAAACTGTTGTAAACATTCCTTTGTATCACAAATATTACAACTTCACCGAACAAAAATATAACATTTAGTTTTACTTGCCATGTAGTCGGTTTTGCTTTTTACTTTGATATGGGCATGTGCGACGTTCTGTAGGGTATAATTAGCAATATTTCCTGCGGCAAACTTAACTTCTGCGAGTGACATAAAAGCATCTTTCATTATTTCTTCTACTGCAAATTTAGCCTAAAGACATCCAAGAATTATAGATTACTATAAAATTCACAGTACAGTTAATAAAAATATATGAATTGAATTAGTTTAACTAACTAAGAGCATTTCCCTGCAAATCACACGTAGCTTCAAATTAAGGGCATCCGTCTTTCTTTTTAATAATTTATAGCCTTTTTGGGCAAACTTTAATTTAATAGTCAGAACATTGAAGCATCTAAAATTTAAGATTGTTGGAAAATGTTTTTTATTTTGTATAGACTCACTCTCTGTTTCCCTTCGTAGCAGTTCCTCTAATATCTAGAGCCATAATTTCACGTCAATATCAATATAATTTCTTAATTTCAGATACAAGTTAATACACTTAATTTTATTTTACTGGTTAATTTTTGACAATTTTTAATTAATTAGTCTTATATGACATTTAAAATATTTAAAATGTTGATGTCACAAATTTTAAAAACCGATTGGTATAGTTTGAATCTTATTCCACTAATTCGTGAAGATTGCTTTTGGTTTATTTATTTATTTGTTTATGATTAACAATCTTGAACATTGCAGTTTTGAAAAATTATATTTTTGTTATGATACGTATGACGGGCAGATTTAAAATTCGTAATTTTCAACTTTTTTTAATAAACTTGCATCAGAAGACCTTCCTTCAGTTCAAATGTGAGTGTTCCAGCTCAACTAGAAGTGTCCTACAGGTTTCGTTAATCACTTTTGCTTATGAAGCTCTGATAGAAAGACAAACAAGCTCTAATTTGAAATTTGTGATTTTGAACAGCAGACACTTTAACGGGCTGTGCATAAACCACATATGTTGTTTTTACTCCCCCCCCCCCTTCTCCCCAAAACTACTTGGTCTTATTAACATTTTTTAAAATGAAATTTTCATAGAAATTTTAATTTTACTTTAATTCTTTCTGGTTATTTTTTATTCTCTATCACAGGAGATAGACCTGGCCCAGAATTTGTAATCTTTGGATTTTCGTCTAGATTTGTACCATAAAATCACCCTCTAATCCAAATTTGAATGTTTTACCTCAAGTAAAAGTGACCTATAGGTTTTGATTATGAATGCAGGAGCAGGCTGAAAGAGAGACAAACAGACAAAACTAAAATTCGTTTATTTGAACTTCGTCAACTAGAAGTGCCCTATAGGTTTTAAGATCAGTAATATTAATCGCAGACAGAGCAGGCTCATTTGAAATTGGTTATTTTCAAATTTTTTACTGAATTTATACCAGATTTTCCTTAAGTACTTTGAAGATGTCAGTCCAACCAGCAGTGCCCTAAGGTTTTGATTTTGTTTTTTTGCATTTTTGTACCATGGGAGATTTTTGCAGTCCAAATTTAATGGTCCTAACTCAACTAGAAGTAATCTATATAAGTTTTAATGACCAGTGACACCTATGACGAACAGACAAGCAGACTGACTAAATTGAAATTCATGATTTTAAAGTTTTTCTCCAATTTATGAAAAAAGATATTCTTACAGTCCAAATTTGAAGATCTTAGCTCAACTAGAAATTTCCTGTAAGTTTTGATAATCAGTAACACCTATGACAGACAGACAAAATTTCTTGAATTTGTATTTGAAGACATTCCTTTAGCCTAATTTTGAAGGCCCTAGTCCAACTTGAAGTGCCCTATAGGTTTCTTTTATGATCAGTACACATTTTAATGGAGAGATAAATAGCAAAGGGATTCTAGAAGAGCCCGGTTTCTTATTTACGTATGAAACCCTAAAAGGGGAATAATACGACACTTTTCTGAATTAAAAACAACAAATAACCACTTAAAAGTTTTTTATTGCGACTTGGAATACATATTCGTTATATGAGGATAACATACTATGAACAGTGAATTTCATTTAACATTCAATCACTTCCACCAAGCTTAGAATAAGATAAAGAAAAATAATAACCATTATTTACAGATGATAACTAACGAGTATCTATAATATGCAAATACTGTCCAACTGTAAAAGCAACAATTTCTATTTAAAACAACAAATCTTCATCTCCTTCTTCCAAGAGATTAACAGGTTGTTGTTGGTTTCGTTCGTTCAACTTATTTTCCGCAGCGAATGCTTCCTTTATTGCCTTTGCAGCTTTTTTCTTGTCCTGGATTTTTTTCAGACGGTAGAATTCTTCTCTTTCCAACTCATCTAACTCAGATGTAATGTACGCTAATGTACGTTCAATACGTGGAATGATAACTGGAAAACACATCAATAATATTAGAAAAAGGCATAGTAGAATATTCCAAAATCACAATTAGGCAAAAGGAATAAGAATTTGAAAGAACAAATAAAGAAAAGAATACAAAATTAGTGGCGGATATTTTGTACTGAGTAGAAAAACAACTCAATTCTTTAGATTTCTAGTCCTAAGAGAGTAAGCATTTGCAGAACACACACTTCATTTGATCATGAGCCCCCACTGGTAAGTACATGGTAAAAGGAGATAAATTGTGGTGGATACCCTACAAGAAAAGGCAAGAAATTTTGCAATACATTGTTTTCAGGGATGCTATTTTGAAGGGTGTTTAATACTGGATTTTCATTTAATCAAATTGTTTAACACTTGTCTCATTCATTCTCAAGTATATTTAATAAACTATATTCAAAAAAGAAAACGATTTTTTTCTTACCATGCTCAATGGCATTTACTCTTCTGTTTGTTATTTTAATAACTTCATCCAAAGTGATAAATGAAGTTTGAAGTGAGGCCAATTCTACTAGCAATTTAATGGCACTCTGGTAGTTTTTCTTGAGTTTAGCTAATTGCTGACCTCCTCGGGCTAATCCAGCAAGTTCATATGTGTCAGAGCCATCCTGGTAGCTCTCAAAAACAGGCAATGTAACACCTAAACAAGTAATTATTTTAAATTGTACTTTTGAAACAATCGATGATATAATACAAATGAAGAAGTTATGGTAAATAGTTAAAGTAAACATTTCTAGTTAATTAAAACTGACATAACAACAAAAAATGACATACCTGCTACATTATCTTTCTTTGTTTTAATTTTGATTTGTGCTTTTGTAACATTTTGCAAAACGACCTGATTAAAATCTCCTGTTGTAAACTTGGCTTCAGCAAGTGAAAATGCAGCTTCTTTCATAACTTCTCCCATAAGAGTTTTTGTCTAAAATATGTTTTTTAGCTCAAGGATGTAGACAAATTTAAATCATATGATCAGTTTTACTAACCTCTATAATTTTATGAAGAATCATACGAAACCTCATTTGCAGGGCATCAGCCTTCTTTTTCAGTAAACTATGGCCTTTTTGTGCACCTTTTAAACGAGCCTTCATTAACATTTGAGCCCTAGAAAATAAATGTTATTGAAGAGGTAACTCCCACATCATTATAAAACTAAAACTGTTTCATTTGAATTCTTTGTATTCTACTTACCCTCTAGAGGGAAAGATTGCAAGTTTGTCTTTTCCTGACATTTTTATGTATTATAAATTAGGTTTTATTTTTTTTATAAAACCTTAGGGTAGCACTTCTCTTTCATCACCTCTACACCTAAATTCTGCAGTCAGCTGACTTTCTTAAATCAAAATCATCAAAATTAAGCGCAGACACCATTGACGAGACATCTATCGTGTTTGTTGATTAATAAGCATCACGTATTTTTATCTTCTCAGAAGAAATGCAACTACTTTTGTGTTTGTGCATCTGGTAATATAATAAAACAGTCCTACTAAACATCTTTCAAGCAGAAGCTAAGTATAGTTTTAATTTCGCCAACTAATTTAAAATTTAAGTTCATTTTTTAACTTAATTAAAAGATCCATTTGGATCCGTTAGATGAAGCCACAAATCTTGAACAAAGTAGAAACCTACAGATGTCAGCAAACATGTCCTCCATTAATCGCGCCAATTTTTAAATTTTAAAAATGTTTAAGGATAGTTTTAAATACTATAAAACTAAAGCTTCAGTTCCTGATTTAAGTGATGTAATTGATATTTACGATTTAAACAAGTTTGATTATAAGGTAATTTACTAACAATTTGTAAAATTGCTGTGAAAGGTACAACCAGAATATTTTAGGTACAACTTTTTAAAAAAAGTAGGAATATTGGCGCTAATAATGAATGCATCGGCTTAATTCCTTTTGAAAATTGGGAAATTTATGAATTAAAAGAAAAGCCAGGTATTGCATAATTTTTATTTTTACAGGCAAATTGATAGAAAGATTTTGTTTAATATGCATTAGGAGCATTAAAATTTAATTTTAAAATATTTTCTTTTTGGTGAATTTTTTTTTAACGAAAAAGTGATATCAATTTGTAATGCACTATCCACAAATATGTTTTATATCTTTTAGACTTAATTTATATTAAAACTCCTTTTACATCCTTTGGGCAAAGATACTGGACAATACAATGTTTGGAAAACTATACCAAGAAACCTAATAAATTAAACCTAGACCCTTTTAATGAAATACCATCGAACGAAAGCTGGTGGGAAATGTGTCAAAAATATAAAAATTTCCAGTTGCTGAAAAAATTACGATGGGCTACATTAGGATACCACCACAATTGGGATACTAAGGTTTTTTTTATGAAACTTATTAACCCTATATACCTATTGCCTATTCACATCCAGTTTTGTTTACATTACATCCAATAGATTATATTTTTTTAATAAGTTTTTTTTACAAATTCTTCATATAAAATAATAATTCCATAAATTCCAATATTTTTTTGAGGTTTATACTGAAGATTTTCGAAACGAATTTCCATCGGATTTAGGACTACTCAGTAAAATTGTAGCCAAAGCAATTGGATATGATTATTTCGAACCTCAAGCTGCAATTGTCAATTTTTATCACTTGGATTCAACATTATCTGGTCATACAGATCATTCCGAAATCAATTTAGAAGCTCCCTTAATATCGTTTAGGTAAGTCAATGTACAAAACGCAATTGAACTTGAATTGAACCCGTTCTCAAATACAGAGGTGTTTTATTCCTCCACCACCTTCCATTCGTTCGACAGCCGCATCATGTAAACAATTATCAGAAAATGTTTTTAAAGATATTATTTTGGTTTTTCAGTTTTGGTCAATCAGCGATATTTCTCTTAGGAGGGAAAACTCTAGAAGAAAAACCAACCCCTCTACTTATTCATAGTGGTGACATTATAATAATGACAAAGGAAGCAAGATTATGCTATCACGGTATTCCAAGGATTTTAAAGACTGACAACACTCCTTGGAACACTAACAATTTTTCCGAAGAGAAATTAGCAAATTGTGGAATTTTTTCCGATCATGCGATTTTCAAGAGTCAGAATGAAGAATTGTGGAAACCGTTTGGACAGTATTTAAATAATTCAAGAATTAATATGAATGTCAGACAAGTCCTTCCTAGTGGGCAGAGTTCTCTTTAAAAATGTATTTTTTATCACTTTTGTATTTGTTTGTATCTTTTTATGAATAAATACGATGATATTTCTGAATAAATTGATTGTTTTGTCTATCTTATATCACTTGTATGAAGTTTTGAATCTCTAATCTCTATAACTAATTACTTATCTTCTATTTTTATTTGTTTACTTTTTTTTGTAAACACAATCTCTATATTTCATTTCCTTCCGATTATAATTTGAGAATTAGATAAAAATAAATTTTAATTGAAAACCATAAACACTAATTTTATATTTGGTAGGTGTATAAAAAGATATATCTCTCCAACGAAAAGGTCTGCGACGCGCTGATGAGATCCAAAAAGATCGAAATCGTGATCCGCATCTAGCAGTTACGACAGAATACAGGTCACTTCGAATTATTTTATTCGATTATGGTATCGTTTCAGCAAGTAGATATCCATATATTTAAATGGACCTTGTTGGAGCATACGTAATCCTAGAATGTAGCATCGTACTACAGATGGCGTTTACCGCGCCATTTGTGGTGTTTTCTAAAACGCGCTGTTAAGGCGGCGGCTAAAAGTTGGTCTGTGTTCTGTCGGAGCTGTCTGCGACGCGCTGATGAGATCTAAAAAGATCGAAATCGCGATCCGCGTCTTGCAGTTTCGACAGAATACAGACCACTTCGAATCATTTTAAACGAAAAGTTATTCGTAAATATAGTTGGGACGTTCACAATTGGCATAGTCCACAATAAAACTGCTTTCTTCTTTCAACTTACTAACTAAACAAGAGCGGTTGCTGACAAAACGCCTACTTTTACTCACGATAGACGCTGTAGGGAATATCGTAAACATAGAAAAAAGATGTCAGATAAGAATTGCAGCGGACACTAATAAAGAAAGAGGAATAAGATTACACCAATTGATGTGTAATAGAAAGAGATGCAGACAAGTAGAATTTGAGCAAGAAAGTTCAACATTCTCAGGAATTTAGGAAAGCAAAAACGGTTGTTTAAAGATGTAATTCAAAACAGGCAGTTATAAAGCCGACCCTGACTTTTTGCGTACATAAGCAACCTCTGATCGCTGCACCGCTTACTATTATTTGGTTATCTTCACTTATTATCACTCAGAAAAACAGTTGTAAATGTCCAATGCGACCAAATAATATTGAAATCGCGATTCGCGTCTGATAGTTTGGATCAGTTTCTGACCAGGAATATAAAAGTTTTTAGAAATTAATATCTTGAAATCGATATCGGGACAATTTTGTATGAAAATGCCCTATGACTAGGAAATAATTTTTCAAATTTTAAGGAATTTATTTATTAATTCCTAATTACGTAAACGTAGTTTGAATCCCATTGTTTGGCTGAGGCTGAACAGTCAAATACTTGTATTGTACATATTTCACAATATTGATAACGAACATCCAGGAGATAATATAGATAGTCGTGGCTAGTGCACGAAATTCAAATGTATTAGGCTGTGCAATAATATATACTAAATAATGAGTTCCCAAGAATACCCTCAGTATTAAAAACGAAACAATGAATATAAATTCAATGACGTAAAACGTGGTAGTCTTCTGATAACCATGGTACCGTACAAACCATCTGGTCTGAAGGCAAGGATTTGACAATTCCAATACACCAAGTGCACAGGTTGATTGACCGCCAGACTTCCTCATGATCAATAGTCGATAAATTGCGAAACAACTGAAGCAGTGATGAGCCAGCATGAGAGGCGATTCCGTCTGGTAATAAAAACACCAAACGGTGTCTTCAATGAAGTACCCCAAACTAGCAAGTAGAATTAGAGTCTGTAATGAAGTGGTCACCTGTTCTGATCTGGAGAATTTCCAGTCTCCAAAGCATTCATTACAACCAAAATAAGCCATCACGAGTCCATGAGTTCCTAAAAGCGAAAGATTTTTGGTTTAAAAACTTCATGAGGGTGGTTTGTTCGTTAATTATGTTAGTGGGCTGGGTATATGAATGATGTAGTGGATAGAGTGGAATAAATGTAAAAAAACAACGGAAATTATAATATTCTTACTAAATAGTTAAAACAGTAGTAAAACTAACCTCTATAGATACGGAAAATTAAGAAGTTTAATCAGGTCTTACGGAAAAAAATTCAATCTACACATTCGTTTGGAATCTCCACTCCTATTTCTTATTCTTTTTTTTTCGTATCTTTTAAATATACTTAAAAATGTAGGGATGAGTTACAAAGATAGAAGAGTGACACTTAGTTTGTATAAAGGAAGGGAGTCATACAGGGATGCACACTGTCACCGCTACTTTTTAATCTATACATCGAAGACGCGATCAACATCATTAAAGACAGTACAACTGTAGGGATAGATGTGCAAGGGCAAAAGATTAGTATGCTTAGATTTGCAGATGATATAGCAGTATTAGCATCTAGCAAGGAGGACCTAGAGATAGCTTTAAATAAAATGGAAGCGGTA